ATGTGTCATTGAATAAACAGTGAGAAAGAGAAATGAATAAATAGATAAAAGTAAAGATAAAAACATTAAAAACATCAAAGACATCAAACCCCACTCTAACCCTAATTTAGCCATAAGCAACTCTAACCAATTGGGTTTTAAGTTGAGATTTAAAGGCTCTCAGTGTTTCAGCTGTTTTACAGTTTTCTGGAAGTGTGTTCCAGATTTGTGGTGCATAGAAACTGAATGCTGCTTCTCCTCGTTTGGTTCTGGTTCTGGGGATGCAGAGCAGAACCAGAACCAGAAGATCTGAGGGGTCTAGATGGTTGATACAGCAATAACAGATCTTTAATGTATTGTGGTGCTAAACCGTTCAGTGATTTATAAACTAACAACAGTATTTTAAAGTCTATCCTCTGAGCTACAGGGAGCCAGTGCAGGGACTTTAAATCTGGGGTTATGTGCTCCATCTTCCTGGTTTTAGTGAGAACAGCAGCAGCAGCTTCTGGATCAGCTGCAGCTGGAGGATTGATTTATTAGTCAGACCTGATTTCACTCTGATGAATGTCTACCCGTAATATGTAAATCACTATTTAGAACTTCCATCGTGTTATCCTATTAATTATCCATTTTTATTATTATTTTTATATAGATGCCTTTTTTATTCGGTGTACATAATTTTTCCTGCCAAATTGTATTGATGTAATCTTTAATAATTACTTTAACCTCTGTTTTACTCATTTACAATTTGCAGGGATAAAAACGATGGATAAAACTTCTTTAATATTATAAATAACCAAATATTTATTCACCAGAGTTCTTCCAGTTCCAGTTGAGAAAAACTGTCATCGCCTTCTTCTTCGGAAGGTGAACGGGGCCGCTTTGCGTAATTCTCGCGAGATTATAGTCAAATAGTATTTCCGGTGTTGCAAGCAGTTAGCAACAGCTTCAGAACATAAGGTTTGTAGTTTGACACCGCTTTATTTTTCGATATTGCTAAACTTTATATACCTTTTGTTGTTTTTTGTATCGCAGTTGTTCACTGTTTTATATCTAAAACGTTTTCCCGCCTTTCGCGCTTTCCTTCTGTGTAGGTTCTGGTGGACCGGCTAATGTTAGCATCACACTGCGGTCTTGTTTATGGTGGAAGTGAGCTGCGCGTCCTGCGAGCTTAGCCGTTTTCTGTCCTACTCACCAGCAGAGCGAGGAGCAGGAAGGAAGCGGGCTGTTTTGGATAAACAGATTTATCAGAGACATGAACCTGCAGCGGAGCGGCGAGTCGGTAGAAGCTTGTTAGAAAGCGGGCAGCCTGGATGCGGCTCTGCTAGCACATGTTGCTCCGGGGATGATCTTCACGTGAGCACCAAGAGGCTCCTTATCAATCAGGTGATAAGAACATGGTGTTTTTATCTCTTTATTTAATTTCAAACTATGTTAACACGAAAAACAACAACAAACATACAGCTATACAAACGGCCACCACAATAAATACAAAAGCAAAAATGTTTTTAATATTTTTAATATAAATTATAGTAAAATATTTATCTGAAATTGTTGAATATAACATTTGATTCCACTCTTCATTAATAGTACATCTGAATTATCTTCAACAGTTAATGGACTAATAAAGTTAATAGTTTAATTACTATCAACTACTGTGCTCCGGAAAAAGCTGCAATAGTTTCTCTAAAGGTCATTTAAAATACATTTGAGTATCTGGTGGTTCAATGTCAAACCATTGATTATCCTTAAAACACAAAGTTGAGCAATCAATCAATAAATGATTGGTTATGTTTCTACCGTATCAAAGCACCCAGAAAGCCAAAGGTCATATTTTCAATGCAATGGATCGTTTTTACTCACCAGACTAATAGTGAATCTTTTGCAACATATTAAAATTATGCAGAAATTTTCATAGTTAAATGTCTAAATCAAACTTAATTTATTCAGACATGAACTCATAATTGTAATCTTGAAGATTATTTCGCTCATTAGCATTGTTTGGCAGTTTTTATTTAATTAAAAGGCTCTGGCCTTTTACTTTTACAGTTTCTCATGATGCCTTGTAGTTTGTAGTTAAAGACTTAAATGTGTCTCTTGGGAGTCCGACGGTGTCATCCTGTGAAACGCTGACCCAGATGTTTCTCGCTCACAGGTTGCCTCTCATGGGAGGAAACTGTCCAGCTGCAGAGGTTGATGAAGCCATCAGTTCTTCACAAAGTCAGTACTGCAGCTGATATCATTATTAATATGTCTAGAGTTAATTTATTTATTGTTTCTGCTGCAAACTAAGGCTCTAATGCTGTGTACTTATTATTAACGCCACCTGTTGGTAGAATATGTAACTCTTTTTTTTATTTTAAAAAATATTAAGTTAATTTTTAACATTGCTATCATTTATTTTTTCTGAATAAATAAAATAAACTTGGAACTTCTGTAAAGTTCCATACTAAATCAAATTACATCAGTTTATATGAACAAAAATAAGTTTGTGCATCAAGTTCTGTAACTTAAATGACCAGTATGAGTTTAGCGGAGCTGCCTGGCTTTTTTCTTAAATAAAAAAAAATATCACTAATTATTCAAAATACATCCAGTGGGGAAGTGGCTGTGTAAAACTCACTAACAGAAGGGAAGACGTACAACTGAATGGCTTTTTAAAATCCATCTTTGAGAATTTTGAACAGATTAAAAATTCCCAGGACTAGGAATTATTATTATTTTAAATGTATTTATAGTATTTTTTATTTACATATTTTCTTTATTTATGTGTTGCTTTATTTAATTTTTCAAATTTATATTCTATTGTTTTTTTTTACATATTTAATATTTTATTTGTTGGTTTATTTAAATGATTACATTTATATACTTTTTAAAAATTATATTAGATTTTTTTTTTACATATTATTTTGTTGACTAATTGAATTTCTTCATTTATATTTAAGTTCTTATATTTGCTGGTTTAATTAATTTTTTATTCATATTTAATTGTTTTATTATCTATTTCATAGATAGTTTTTTTTTTCTTTAAATCATTTTTAACTTCTTTACTGGTTTTTCTGCAGCAGGAAGATGGAGAAAATGTCCCGGGTCACGACGGCCCTCGGCAGCAGCAGCATCACCGGCCGAACCATGTTCTGCCACCTGGACGCTCCGGCCAACGCCATCAGCGTGTGCCGGGACGCCGCCCAGGTGGTCGTTGCCGGGCGCAACATCTTCAAGATCTACGCCCTGGAGGAGGAGCAGTTTGTGGAGAAGCTGAACCTGCGCGTCGGCCGCAAACCGTCGCTGAACTTCAGCTGCGCCGACGTCATGTGGCACCAGATGGAGGAGAACCTGCTGGCCACGGCCGCCACCAACGGCGCCGTGGTCACCTGGAACCTGGGCAAGCCGTCACGCAACAAGCAGGACCAGCTGTTCACGGAGCACAAACGCACCGTCAACAAGGTGTGCTTCCACCCGACGGAGGCCTACATGCTGCTGAGCGGCTCGCAGGACGGCTTCATGAAATGCTTCGATCTGCGCAAAAAGGAGTCCGTCAGCACCTTCTCAGGTAAAACCAGCTCAGCTAGAAAATACAGAATATAGATAATCAGGAAGCAGAAACATGATTTAAAAAGATTTAACAGTGATATTAGAGACGTAATGATCAGAAAGCATCAAAATAGCAGAAGAGCAAAAAGTTTCACAGCAGCTTTAAAAACTAATAAAGATTTTAAAAATGACAAACAATATTAACTAAAGATTAAGTAAAAATGTGACAGTAAATAAAAATTGTATTAAACAATATAAAACATTTGAAAAAAATGGAAGGAAGGATCTCCTGTAGCATTCAGTGTTGCAGCAGGTCTGGCTAAGCCTCTGACTGAAGACTTTCTGTTGTTTGAGCCTCTGATGAACAGATGAAAAGTAAAATTTAATTTTATCAAAACAAAACGGTGGAAACCTGTTGCTGTGTTTCATGGGTGGCGTTTGGGAGCAGGTCAGTCGGAGAGCGTGAGGGACGTCCAGTTCAGCATGAAGGACTACTTCACCTTCGCTGCTTCCTTTGAAAACGGGAATGTCCAGCTGTGGGACATCAGGCGGCCGGATCGCTACGAGCGGATGTTCACGGCTCACACCGGCCCCGTGTTCTGCTGCGACTGGCATCCCGATGACAGGTACCGCTACGCAGCGTTTCCACAGCAACGCAGCTCAAACGCTTTACAGCAGAGTGAACATCAACACACAACAGAAATGCTGATCAGTCTTCGGTTTGTACGACTCAAAAGCAGCTGAAACCAGGTGGGGTTGAGTTAAAGGAACTCGGTGCTTCGGCCATTTTCTGGACGTTTGTTCCAGATTTGTGGAGCATAGAAGCTGAATGCTGCGTCTCCATGTTTGGATCCAGAACCAGAAGACCTGAGAGGTCTGTAAGGTTGATGCAACAGCAGCAGATCTTTAACCTGTTCAGTGATTTATAAACTAACTTCCTGGTTTTAGTGCCTGATTTATTTATACAGACGTGTGGAGACCGTTGCAGTCGATGTGACTGAGGATTTTCTCTCCTTTAATCCTGGAAATGTTCTTCAGCTGATAGAAGACTGACTTTGTAACCATCTTTATGTGGCTGTAAAGGTTCAGGTCAGTTTTGTTTCAGAAACCATCCGCTTTCCGCTCTCCTTGTTTGTGTCTCAGGGGTTGGCTGGCCACCGGCGGCAGAGACAAGATGGTGAAGGTTTGGGACATGACCACCAACCGCGCCAAGGAGATCTACTGCGTCCAGACCATCGCCTCGGTGGCTCGCGTCAAATGGCGCCCGGAGAAGAAGTTCCACCTGGCCACCTGCTCCATGATGGTGGACCACAACATCTACGTGTGGGACATCCGCAGGCCTTTCATCCCCTTCGCCACCTTCGAGGAGCATAAAGACGTGACCACTGGGATCGTGTGGCGCCATCAGCACGACCCCCACTACCTGCTGTCCGGCTCCAAGGACAGCACGCTGTACCAGCACATGTTCAAGGACGCCACGCGGCCCGTGGACAAGGCCAACCCCGAGGGCCTGTGCTTCGGCCTGATGGGCGACCTGGCCTTCGCCGTCAACGAGAGTCTGGTCAGCAGCGACGCCGGCAGGAAGCCGTACCCCGGAGGCGACCGCCGCTACCCGTTCTTTTCCTTCAAGAAGCCCAATCCGACGGAGCAGTTCGCCCACGTGTCCAGCGCGCTGAGCGTCTTCGAGACGGACCTGGACAGCAGCCGCATGGACTGGTTTGTAAAGACGGCACAACTCTACCTCCTCAGTGGGAAGCCGTTTACGGAGCTGTGTGACCATAACGCTACGGTGGCCCAGGAGCTCAAACGGCCGCAGGTGAGACGGGTCAGAACAAAAGCAGGTTCCTCTGGAATCAGTAAAGTACCTTTTAATTTGAAATTAAACCTCTTCGAAACGGTGAGGGACTCTAGTTTTATCCAGTTAAAGTTAATTTAATGAAAATATTCACAGACATGAATATTACTCAATATTCATTTATGTTCTTTAAATTTCCTCATTTTATTTCCTGAAACCAGGAAATAAACCCAATAAATTAATAGCAATAGACGAGCAGCTAGTGGCACAAACCAACTCACTCTTCTCTGGTTGCCTAGCAACAACCTGCTGGGGGAGAAGTAGTTTCAAGTTCCCCCAAACTTTGGTTGCCTAGCAACAGCCTGCTGAGTAACTGGAGCAGTCTTAAAAAATGAAAAACAAAATAGAGAGAAAACTGAATAAAACAGGAACGCTCACAGCATCAGCTTGGCAGTATTACAGATATTTATAATAAAAAACCTAATTAATAATTATTGGTATTGACTGATGTCGCAAAATATAGAAAAAAATAATCGAGTTGGGTGGATCAGTCTGATCACCACAGGTTTTCATCTCTGGTGGATTAACAGAAAACAAAACCTCCTGAAGTCAGCAGCAAAACTTTATTAAGTTATTTAAAAGTTTTGAAGTTTCCATAAAAATTTTCTAATGCAATACTTCAAAATGCCCACTGAAAAAAGAAATGCTGACAGAAACACAGTTAGTCCACGAAAAATCTCTGAATTAGGTCGATTATTCGCTGCTTCTCATTTCCTGTTGGCACATTAAGAAACATAAAAACACAACTCAAAAACTTTCTTTGTGAAAAAAAATTCCTTTTTTTCCATTGAAAGATAAAGTTGCAATATTGTGAATAAAACGAGTAATGTCAAAATGATGGGAACAAAATAAAAAAATTGTTTTGTGATTAAAGTCAAAATATTAGAAAACAATGGAAATAATATCTTGAAAAGGTGAAAGAAAGTTTTGACATGTCTGTTGGTATTTTACATAAAATCCTATTAAAATATGTGACATTCCTGTTTTAAATGTTTAAAAGTTTGTTGACCAAAATAACAAACTTTATTGAATTGAAAGGTTTCAACAACATGGACCATGCTGAGAATCATGTTTTCTGACCCAGCGCCCGGCCCAAACCACAGCCTCAGTAAACTGGGCAGTTTACCACTAATGAACAGGTAATCTGATTCAGATTATAATCCGGATTACTGGAACAGCAAACCTGAATGTTTCTGCTTTCAGTTTCAGCATGAAAGAAATGGGTCCGGAGAGCAGACTGGAGCGCTGCAAAGGCGAAAGCCGGCCGGACAACGTCCACCTGGAGCCGGGCAACTCGCACATCAGCAACAACAACGAAGGTAAAGTTGCCGCTGCGCCGCGCCTGGAGCCGGGGACTCAAACCGTCGTCCTGTGACTCAGTCTGACTTCATTTCCAGAGAACGAGGAGACGGAGGGCAGCGACGGCCCCACAGAGTACATGTTTGGAGACGCAGAGCTGGACGACGACGACCTTTACCCCATGGAGCACGACAACCAAACGGGTCAGCTCACAGCTAGCTAAGCTAACCCTACAGCAATAATCCTAAACATTAGTTCTGCTAACCCACTGGCTTTGTACCAACATCATATTAAGTGGAAGCTAATGCTAAATCGCTAACAGGAAATTAGCTCCTCTGTTAGCGTATTAGCATGAAGTTATTTTTTAATGCTGCTTCCTCTGCAGTGCCGGAGGAGCCGGTGTACACGCTGCCTCCGGAGGCCTTCCAGCTGCGCCACGAGATCATCGACAACCCGTCGGCGCCGGAGCACCTGCAGCAGGACAAGGCCGACTCACCGCACGTCAGCGGCAACGAGGCGGAAGTCGCCTGCCTGACGCCCATCGAGTCGTTCTCGCTCATCTCCATTTCCCAGCCGCTGTACAGCCCGCACTTACACGCCAGCTTCTTCTGCCCCATCGTCCGTGAGATGCTGAGCCACTACGCCGAGCGCGGCGACGTGCAGATGGCCGTGTCTGTGCTCATCGTGTTGGGGGAGAGGATTCGCAAGGAGATCGACGACCTCACTCAGGTCAGGAGACGCAGCAGCAGTTTATTGCCGTTTTGTTCAGTGATTGGACAGTTTTTGGACCTGCTTTGCCCCCGTAGGAACACTGGTACATGTCCTACATAGACCTGCTGCAGCGGTTCGAGCTGTGGAACGTTTCCAACGACGTCATCAAGCTGAGTACCTGCAGCGCCATCACCTGCCTCAACCAGACCTCCACCACTCTGCACATCAACTGCAGCAACTGCAAGCGGCCAATGAGCAACAAGGGATGGATCTGCGACAGGTACAAACATCAAATTCCTGTCTATTAAGGTGTTTGCTTTTTCTAAACTCTAAACCTTCTACATATTTCAGATACATTTCAGATTATGTAATCTAGCCTTTTAGTTACTTTCCAAAAAGATTGATTATTGATTATTTGACGTATTGGGCTCATCTCTGCTGATGCGCTAATTGCAGAGCTAATTATTTGCTTAGCCTTTTAGCAGTTTTGCTAACAGAAAATGCTTATTTAGTGCACCTCGTTTAAAAAGTGTGCGTCTGTCCTGCAGGTGTCGCCAGTGTGCCAGTGCGTGCGCGGTGTGCCACCATGTGGTGAAGGGGCTGTTCGTCTGGTGCCAGGGCTGCAGCCACGGCGGACACCTGGAGCACATCATGAACTGGCTGAAGAACAACTCTCACTGCCCTGCCGGATGCGGCCACCTGTGTGAATACACCTGAGACCCGGTCGCACACCTGGGGAACGTGTTCACGCCTCGGAGCGCTCTGCCGCCCCCTGTGGCCTTCATGTGAAATCACACCAACCGGTCAATCGGACCTCCGGTGATTCTCATCAGCAGAATGTAAAACCAGCGATTGAAATGTTCAACATTTTACAGTTTTCAGATCTGAGTTACTGTTTTACATATTAACACTTATTTTGAGCAACTGTAGATAATGTAACATTAATTTATAACAAGGAAAATGGCTTTGAGCGAAACATTAAAACACTTGAGATGTTACGTTCTGCACCAGAAACCCGTTTGTCTTCACATTATTTACATCAAATAGGACTAATGTGAACCTAAAGATGAGGATTTTAACCAAGTGAAGTCTAAAAATAGATCAGAAAGACAATTAAAAAGGTTCATATCCCTTTTATTTATATTGTCACAACAAAAAACTTTCAATTGATTTTTTTTTCATATCAAATCCAATTTTAATCATTTCTGAACTTTTTTCTAAAAAAAAATAAAATAAATACAAATTACAGAAAATATTTTTATCCTGTGAGTTTGGAGTATTGAGGCCAGATTACAAGATTTAAAAAAAAAAAGAATAAGATATTGGCAGAATAAAAAAGCTTCTAGAGTTAAAGATTTAATGTGAGCAAATACAGTTTTTACTTTATTCTAGTATTTTGACTCTTGTGGTACACTGCAAACACACAATTTTACCAAGTATTTTTGGTTTAGTTTCTTGTGCAAATGTATTTTTACGAATGAAATAAGACAAAACTAACTTAGCACATTTTTAGTGAGATATATAACAGCTTGTTTTAAGAGGTGAAACAATTGGCAGATTTCACTAATAATCTTAACTTATTAAATGTCTTGTTACAATTAAAATAACCTGCCAGTGGAACTAGTACTTTTTTAAAATCAATATTTAGCAAGCTCATAAAATGTTACTTGTTCTGTCTTATTTCAAGTGTAATAAGATATTTTCACACAAAAAAAAATGCTCAGTAAAATTTTGTGTTTTTGCAGTGTATGACTTGGTAGTATTGCATCTATTATGCTAAAAAAAATCTTATTCTGGCCTTAATGACGATTTAGTATATGGGCAACAAAATAAGTACATTTCCAAGTAAAAACTCTATTTCTGAGATTAATCTCAAAGTTTCTGAAATTCACTGTTTTTGGCATGAAAACTGTTCCTGTTAACCACCAGAGGGCGCCACTGGGAACAGATTTCAGTTTCAGATGAGAAAAATAATTTCATTCAGATTCAGCAGGATATTCACTAAAACTAAGACAAACATATTAAATTTAATTTTCCATCATTTCTTCCTCCTTTTCCTCTTCTCTGTGCACGCTGAGTGCAACACACCAGCACAGGCGGTGAGGGTCATGACCTCTTCCTGCCTGCTTGTCGTTTCCCTCCGAGTTGCTCCCGCTCTCAACTGGGCAAGCGCAGGTACTTCAGCCAATCAGAGGCGGGCAACAGGTAGCCAATCAGAGGCAGCTGGTGCTGCTCGGCTCGCTGCGGCGCTGTGACTATCCTCCAGCGGCGGTTCGGGGTGGTTGGCTCACCCTCCGTCAAATATTCACAGAAACCCTTTAAAAGGCAGCGGAGAGAAGCTGGTTTCAGTTAATTTGAGATGAAGACAATACGTCAAAAAAACAAAAAAAAAACATACGTCATCCAGCCAGTAGAGATGCAAAAATGCTAGGAAGCTGGCTAGCAGCAGTTAGCAGCTAGTTAGCGGTAGCCTCAATGACGATGTCTTGAAACTTAAAAAGCTGTTGCTGTTTTTAAGCGCTTGGCCTGGAAACCCAAAGGAAAGTACTAAAATGTGCAAAGTGTGAATTTGGCATAAGTTCCCTTTGAGTCTCTGCAAGGCTGTGCGCGGCTCTGACCTGTTGCCGCACTTAGGGCCGCTCCCAGCTGTCTGAGACCTTCTCCGGGGCGCTCAGCCGCCTCAGGCTCTGCTGCAGGGTTTCCACAGTCCCTGCTGTGATCACATCAAACGTCAGAGTTAAAACTTCACCATTTTAATCTGAAGCACTGAACTCTGTGTACCCATTTTGTCCTGATAGGACTCCAGCTTCTTCATGAGCTTCACCATATTGGAATATCTCAGCCCCTCTACAAGTACAAGAAATAAATAACAGTTACTTTGTTTTGCTAAAAATGTGAGATGCAACATCAGAACTGCTGTACCTGCCGGGTCAGAACCGCTGCTCCGGTCGGCCGTGAGGCAGGCCAGCAGCTCGGCCTGGCAGGCCCTGGCCTTGGCCAGCGTGGCGCTCATGTCCTGAGCCAGCCGCTGGTTCTCCGCCAGCTCAGAGTGGACCTTCTTCCAGGCCATTTTGTCCTCCATCAGGCAGCCCTCCATCACCGTCCGCAGCTCCTTCTCCTGAGACACCTGGCTCTCCAGGCTCTCGATTTCCTCACATCGCTGCCAGCGGACAAGAAGAAGCTCAGCTGGAGCAGAGCCGCTCGTTTTATGGGAACGATAGACACAACTTCAATCTGGACTTATTCTGGACTGTGGTGTGCACACGTCCACTGACAGCAGAGGTAATTCTTTATTTAGCGCTTTGGCATTTTTGCTCATTTTGAAAAGTTTAGTGGTATAAGCTAATTGGTGGATCAAGTCTAAAGCACTCATTTACTTGGCTACAGTGGTTAGCCCAAACTTCTATTAGCAATGCTAATTTTTCATTTGGCGCATTAGCATTATTGCTAGATTTGAAAATGTTTAGTCCTATTAGCTTTCCATAAATATTTTTTTCTGGATAATTCCTAAAGCACTAATTTACTTTCTTATTGTTTAAACTTTCGGTTCAATGAAGTTCAACATCTGAGCTGCACTTTTTGTTATTGACTTAAGAATTCAAATATTTACGTTTATATTCCTGCTTTTATTTTGAAGTGCAGGAAGACTGCGCAGCAGTTCCATTTCTTCTTTCTTCCCGATGACTTTAATTAAAACAAGAAACATGCAGGAACCAAATCCGATGTTAGTTGAATGTTGTCGGATCGGTTATCCATGGCCAACACTGATTATGGATTTTCTTTCGTCTGCTTGATGCAGAGTGATGTCATAAACCCAAAGGGTTAAAACGCGTCTCGAAAGGCTCAGAAGTGATTTAATGTGTGAAGCTCTGATCTGCTTTGGTCACCTTGTGGAGCTGGATGGCCATTTCCTGCATCTCTGCTTCCAGCTGGTCGGCGTACGCCTGCTCCAGGGCGTCGCTGGGCGGCGGCGCGCTGCTGTGCCACCGCGCGATGGCCGACGTCATCTTCCGTTTGGGACCAAACAGCCTGAAAAACAGAGCCGTTCAGAACCGCCACGAGGCAGAGACCGGGGTTTAACTGTACGACAGACATACCAAGAACTACTATGACAAGACAAAGTCAAATATTAGCAGAATAAAATGCAGCAAAACCTGAATAAAGTCGTTTGTTGTATTAATACGACTTTATTCTCGTGTGATCATGACTGTCGGTTCCTATTTTATTCTATGCTAACTGCATTATCACAACCTTGTTGTATTGCTGTGACTGTAAAAGCTAAAAATTAACAAATTTATTTTTATATTATTATGACTTTGTTCTTGTATGATCATTAAATATTGTAGGATCACGACTTTGACTTTGTTCTTGTATTATTATGAATTTGTTCTAGAAACTGAAAATCTCGTAGCCTGGCTCTAGTTCTCCGTAGCAGAAATGCGAAATAATTCTCACGTAATCCCGATTTCCTTTAGGTCGTTCTCCGTCAGCGTGAGAAATATCCGCAGGTCGATGTCCTGTTCTTCCAGCAGACGGAAATATTTGGAGAAGTTGATTTGCTCCAGGAACTCTGCCAGATCCTGCAGGGAAACAGGAAGTGAAAACCAAACCGACGCAGACGCTGAATCGAACCCGGAAGCAGCCCGACCTTCGGTCCGGAGTAAGATGGCCGCTGCCCGCCGTGTGCATGTTTGCTGCCGTTTCCCGTCCCGCCGGACAGAGCCGCGTCGCTGTTGGCGTGCCGCGTCTTTCCTTTGGAGTGAGTCTTATTTGTCCGGCGGGAGCTGCTCCTCCGGCTCTGATCCGAGTCCTGGTGGAGAACATGAGCTTCAGCAGCTAACAGGAAGTCGGAGCAGCGGCGGCGAGGCGAACGCACCTCGTTGCTCTCCACGGATCCTTCCCAGCTGAGTCCGACCGCGTGAGGCAGGCCGTCGCTGCTGCTGCTGCTGCTCCTCATGGTGGGCATGTCGCTCTCAAAGAACGGGCTGTCGTCTGCAGAGACACGCACCTCTTCACCAACACCGACCAAACACCGGCTTACCTCCGGGGTCTGACCTCTGACCTCTGCTGCTGTGGCTCTGGCCGTCCAGCTCGTTGATGGGTGACGTGACGTCCCGGTAGCAGATGCTCTCGCTCTGCTCGCCGTACGCCGTGAAGCCGGGCAGCGCAGCGGGCGGTTCTGGAAGTCCGGTAGGAAACCAAACAAATCACATTTCATCGCTTTCTATAGAGATCAGGGCTGAAACGATTAATCATGATTAATCGATCTTCAAATAAACAATTAATTTTGATTAATCAGAATAAAAGTATTGAAATAAATAATTAGCCATGATTAATCAATTGAAAACAATCCATCAAAATTAATCATTATTCAAATAGCTAATTAATCAGAATTATCGATTACTGAACAATTAATCACGATTGATTTTGGGGGGAAAAACAATTGAGATTAATCAGATTAATCCAGTATTGAAATAATTGATTAACAAGATTCATTCTGATTTATTGATTCTTGAAATAATCAATCATGATTAATGATAGTGAAATAAAGGATTAGTTTGATTAATTAATTATTGAAAACAATTAATTGTGATTAATCAATTATTCAAATAACTAGGAGCTAATATAGTAATCGATTGTTAACAGGAGTATTGAGACTAAAAAGACTTTTAGCTGAAAGAACGACTCACTGAACAGTAATTAAGATGAAAACTGAACAAAAATAAACATTTTGCTTTTCAGATGAAAAACAAATGTTTCCTGCATGTCTGTTCTGTTTTTATCTTCGCTGATTGGAGAACAAACATGTTTTAACTAGGAATCAACCAGAAACACGCCTGCAGTTTTTGTTTCATAAATTTTATATTGAAAGAACCTGAATTGAAAAATGTTTCTTTTGCCGGAGTTTATTTTGTAACTGCAATATTTTACAATAATTGTTTTAATTTTGCTTCATATTATGATGTAACTTTAAAATGTTAAATAATTGATGTTTTGATCCGTTGCGTTTTATACCAAATGCTTCAGTATAATTTCTGTGACCAGCTCTGGTCGGGGGGTGTGAATATTTTAGCCATATTTATCGGGACCCACCGCTCGGTTTGCTCTTCCCTCCCACTCTGAACTTGGCGATGGCCTGCGGCCCGTCGTGGATGCTGACGCCTTTGACCCGGCTGCGGCCGGACCGAGTCCTGGGCGGCGAGCCGTCCGAATCCTCCGAGGAGCTCAGGTCTCCAAAGTGTCCTGATGAGTTTAAGAACAGCAGAAAAAAGACTTTTTTGTTTTTACTTTAATAATTTTGAACAGTCTGTACGCTCCAGTTAACAATTAATCAACTAGTAAGTTAGTTGACGATTACTTTAATAATCGATTAATCATTTCAACCCTGGTTAAAACCTCAAAGCTGGACGATACGTCTGAAAAAGTTGTTTCATGATAATTATTGATTAGTTTTCTCTCTCCGCTGTTTCTTATTTTTGGGGGAAACTTGAAACTGTTCCTGGCTGTTACCCAGCAGGTTGTTGCTAGGCAACCAGAGAACTAGAGTTAGTTGATTCACCTGAATATTCTATCAAACATATTATCTGTTGATATTGATCACGTGTTGTGAAATATGTTATTGATGTACAGAAACCTGGTTTAATTCTTGGAGATCGAGAGTCGATGAGGCCGACGATCTTGGTGTAACCGTACATCATGGCGAGGGCGCGCGCCGTCTCTCCTTTGACGTTTCGATCGCCCACTTTTACTTTCTGAAGCAAAAGGAGAAAAGATTATAGAGTTAAATCCCTTCAGCCACCAACAGGGGGCGTTTCCTGCAGCTAAATCCCTTCAGCCACCAGCAGGGGGCGTTTCCTGCAGCTAAATCCCTTCAGCCACCAGCAGGGGGCGTTTTCATGGCCACTCACGTGATCCAGCAGGTACTGAACAATGATTTCGTGTCCAGATGCAGCGGCCTCCATCAGAGGAGTGAACTCTGACCCCGGCTCCCTGCCAGACGAGGGGAAAACAGTTTAGAACCATCTGGGTCAGACCCGTTCCGGTTCTGGTTCTGAACACCGACCTGACGTTGGCGTCGGCATTGTTGTCCAGCAGGAACTTGACCATCTGCTGGTGGCCGGTGCTGGTGCAGTGAAGCAGAGCCGTCCAGCCTCTGGCGTCCCTCAGCTCCAGCTCCGCCCCCTTCTGCAGGAAGAGACGACAAACCGTCAGACACTGGACCAGAACTGCACCGGTACAATCAGAACCACCGTCAGACACTGGACCGATTCTTTAGAGGTAATCAGAACCACCATAAAGACGCTTTACTAAAGCCTCCAACTGCTTCAAGATGCAGAAAAAGGAAAGAAAGAAAAGAAATGGGTAGAGGAAGATGACGTAAAAAGAAACAAAGGGGAAAGGAACAAAAAAAGGGTGGAGAGAAAAATGAAAAAAATGGTAAAGAGGAAGGGAAAAAGAGAAAAGAAAAATTAAAGATGTAAGAAATGGAGAAAAAAAAGAAAAAAGGTGAAAAGGAAATTAACATTAAAAAAAGTTAATTAATGTGCGTTGTCCCTAACAAATAAATTAACCTGAATATAATCAGGATTAATTGTCGTCTTTAGCGAGCGGATGCTGTACCTGCAACAGGAAGTAGGCTATGCTTTCGTTCCCGCAGCTAGCTGCTAGCATCAGCGGCGTGAGGCCATTCGGCGTGGCGGCGTTCACGTTCACTCCGGCCTCCAGCAGCAGGTTGGCGATGTTGTCATGGCCGATGTAGGCGGCGTACATGAGCGGCGTCCATCCGCCCAGGTTCTTCCTGTCCAGGTCCGCCTCCCGCCTGGGAACAGACACTGAACTCAGCGACGAGTCACTGGGATGAAAATATCTCTGAGTTTAGTAGATTTTTAGGGTCACGATTCGATTTTTGTCGTATTTTTAGTTACTCTTGTTATATTAGGACTCTGTTCTCCTATTATTGCGATTGTATTGTATTACTACAACTATTCTGTTAGAATTACAACTTTGGTGCCATACTTTATCCTATTTTAATACTTTTTTCTAGTATTATTTCAACAGTTCTTTTATCATTATTACAACTTTGTTCTCGTATTGTTGTGACTTTATCATATTGTTGTTCTCGATTTTTTTGATTAAAACTTTTTTTTTCTTCATTCAGTAGGTAGAGAATCTAGAAATTTTACTGAAGTCACAGTAGCAATACGTCATAATAAAATTACTCGAGTAAAAGTAAAAAGTACAGCGTAGTAAAAATACTCTTAAAAGTAAATTTTTTTCAAAGTTACACAAGTGAATTACTACCCAACTCTGGTTGCCTGTTCTGATAATTTCAGTAATTTCTGTCTTGTAGACAGATAGTTTTAAGGGACTGGTTGGTGCAGAGCTCACTTTTTGACGCACTCCGCCACCACGTCGTACTGGCCGATGGAGCAGGCGGTGTGCAGGTCCAGCGGGACGTCCAGCTCCTCTGGGCGCAGCAGGGAGTCTCCCAGCCAGAGGGAGAGGCTGGCCCCCAGCTGCTCCGACTCGCTGGCCTCGTCGCTTAACTCAGACATTTCCCCTCCTGAAACCAAACAAACCGGCTTGAAATGACAGAACCCTGGACTCAGAACCGGTCCGGTGCCATAAATCGAATATTATTAGCGAGCCTAGCTTAGCGGACAAAACCGTTATCTCTGCCCGGTAAAGCTTCGTAACCTTTCTACAGGCTGGAGACGTCGGAGTCAGGCGTTTAACGGCGTCTAAAGGTCAAGGGTTAAAACTTACAGCAAACTAGAAGATTCTTTAAGCAACACAGGAAACTTTTCCAAATTTAAAAAACTTTTCTCTTTCTTTGCCACACTCAATTGTGCTCGTGTAGAAACACAAACCGCCCCTTCCGGTTCTTTTCTTCTTCGTGGATTGTACGCACAGCTTTGAGTGTGCATTACTGCCACCTTCTGAATTAGCGTGTGAAATCGATTAAAAAGGTCAGATCTTAGAATAAATTGAAAACGACGCCCCATTTAATGTGGAAGAAATTTTAATGAAGTAATTAAACTTAATTAAATCACTTTTGTAATGTAAATGGCTTATTGTTTTTCTCTCTGATATCTTGTATATCCTGGCTGTGGCGCCTCCCCAGAAAATGTTCACATGTGCATATGGGTGGGTAGACAGGACAGTAACACATTTTATGGTGGTAAAAAAGACAAATAAAACAAAACTTATATAAATAAGTATAAGTTTGTTTATATATATATAT